ACATTAGACATTGGACAGAGCCATTTTATTTACACACAAAGCATTCTGGGTAAATGATGACTTGGATAGGTCCTCGGTGTGAGTGAGCTATATCCACCCTGAAGGTTAATCTTGGACAATATCTGATGATCGACTCTTTTAAATGAAACTAGAGAGCGTTGACAGAGAGGAGAAGGTAGAAATGACTCAGCCTGGAACTGAAAATATAGATGGAAGACCTCTCTTTAACTTGTAAGCTTTTCACGCTAGCGCCGAGCTAATACATATAAGGAAATTTAGCATCGGCGCTAGCGCAAAAGCTAACAGGTTAAGCTGAGGTTCTTCTTCCATGAAGCAGCTCTGTTGTCCTCCATCCATCAGACTGAGTCATTTCTACCTTCTCCTCTCTGTCAACGCTCTCTAGTTTCATTTAAAAGAGTCGATCATCAGATATTGTCCAAGATTAACCTTCAGGGTGGATATAGCTCGCTCACACCGAGGACCTATCCAAGTCATCATTTACCCAGAATGCTTTGTGTGTAAATAAAATGGCTCCGTCCATGTTAAAATATATTTTTAAAAATTTCCAAACTAAAGAGGCTACAGTATTTTTACAGTCTTTATTTTACAGTTAAAATAAATGTTTATCACTAAAGCTTAATATTACAACTAATTGTGGATCCCTTTAAAAAATCATTTGTTGTCATTTCAACCCCTAAATGCCATGGAATATATATTTTTACTAAGTGTATTATGTTTGTTTTTATTAGTTCATTGTTCTCCATGCATTTTTAAAAATAAAAACCAAATTAAAATTTTAGTAAAAATTTTTTTGGACCCCCAAGATACCTCTCGTGGACCCCTGGAGGTCCAGGGACCCCAATTTGAGAACCTCTGCTTTAGACTAACGTGGTGAGATGGACTGTCTGAGGTGTGATGATTTGAATATGGTGCCATGACCTGACTGTGATGTGTTAGACCAGTGGTTCCCAACCCTGGTCCTCGAGTTCCCCTATCCAGCATGTTTTACTTGTTTCCCAGAAGGGGTGATCTGTGGAATCAAAGTGGGCGTGTCACAAGAGTGGGCGTGTCAAAAGCATAAACACTGTGGACTACGAGGCCTACATGACGGTATCCTTAGACCCTGCTTGACCTCTATACAGCCTGTCCCTGACCCCAACACTGAGGTTAACCAGGAGAAATGTGACCCAAGTAGGGTTTTCCAGAAAAAGTGGTGCCGTACAGTATCACCCTTTTTGTTGTTGTCCAATGAGGTGGTGCCGTTCGGTATCGCCCATTTTTTGCTTGTCCAGTCAGGTACGTCTCTTTAACAAAGTCCGTCAAATCAGGTATGTCGCTTTAGAATCGCCTTTCCTTGTGACACGCCCACTCATCCCCACTCGTCCGCAGAGACCCCTACTTGTGTTTCCCTGCTATTCAGCAGGTCTTCAGAAGATTGTTAATCACTCATTCATTCAAACCAGGTGTGTCAAATCAGGGAAACATCTAAACATGCAGGACAGGATTCCTTGAGGACCAGGGTTGAGAATCACTGCTTTAACACATGTTATCTGATTTATTATTTACGAAAAAATGGCAAAGAATCAATGGCTTCCAGAGGCAACACTAAAAAACAGTATTATATTTTGAAAAAGTCTCGTCAAGCTCTGAGAAGTTCTTGAGGTGTTGGTCAACATTTAAAGCAGTGATTTTTAGATGTTTCCCTGATTTGACACACCTGGTTTGAATGACTGAGTGATTAACAATCTTCTGAAGACTTGCTGAATAGCAGGGAAACAAGTAAAACATGCTGGATAGGAGTACTCGAGGACCAGGGTTGGGAACCACTGTGTTAGACTAACAGTGGTGCGATGACCTGCTTATTGTGCAATAGTCTGTAGTGTGATTGTGGTGTGATGACTTGACTGTAGAGTGATGGACCAACTATGGTGCGATGGTCTAAATGTACTACAGCCTGACTAATGTGATGACTTGACTGTGATGCGATGACCAGAACGTGGTGTGAGAAACTGACCATGGTGTGAAGACCTGGCTGTGTTGCAATGAACTGGCTGTGGTGCGATGACCAGTCTGGTGTGATGTTCTGGCTGTGGTGCGATGACCAGTGTGGTGCAATGTCCTGGCTGTGGTGCGATGACCAGTGTGGTGCAATGTCCTGGCTGTGGTGCGATGACCAGTGTGGTGCAATGTTCTGGCTGTGGTGCGATGTTCTGATTGTGATGCGATGACCAGAGTGGTACAATATCCTAGCTGTGGTGCGATGACCAGTGTGGTGCAATGTCCTGGCTGTAGTGCGATGTTCTAGCTGTGGTGCGATGATCATGTCGTGCGATGTCTTGGCTGTGGTGTGATGTTCTGACTGTGGTGCGATGACCAGAGTGGTACAATATCCTGGCTGTGG